TGGAACGGTGTTTTAGCTAATTTTGTTTCAACACATACTTCACATTTATGATTATGGTTGATTTTATTCGTCGAAATTAAACTTTGATTTATAAGTTTGTGCAACGATTTATAATTCACATGTCCTAATCGATTATACCACAAATATGAAGGCTCAAGCAAATAAACAAAATTTATAGTTTTATTTATAACAACTTGTTTCTGTACAATTGTAAGAACATTCAACTTGAACATTCCATCACACATGTATAATTTTCCTACATACATCTCATTCTTAGACAACACAAATTTATCGAAAATAAATACAGGTTTAAAACCTTTCTTGCTAAGTAGAGACCCGGACACTAAATTCTTTCATATTTCCGGCACATGTAGGATATTGATGAGGATGAGTTCTTTTCCAGATGTCATCTTCAAAGTGACTCTGACAAGACTCTGCCTTGTCCTTCAACTTTAGAACTTGCAGAGCTTTCCATGTATGGTTGTTCCCCATTTAATTCTTGATAGTTGGAGAATATCGCCTTATCCGCACACACATGACGGTAGTGTCGGTGTCAATTCATCATTCTCTAGTATTTCCAATTATGTTGCATTCGGACACTACCGCAGATAAACTCATTTCTTACAGTCCGTCGAATGGAGTGTCATTTGCAACCATGTGTGTTTGAGCATTCTTCTTTGACTTTCGACATTTACTTGAACGATGTATAATCTTGCCACAGTTGTAACAATTCCCTTGAAACTTATTAGCTTTCTTGGAATTGTCTCTTCGCTATGCATAATTAGGAGCCTTTCGTTTCTTATTTGTTCGCTTTGGTTATATTTCAACAAAGTTTGCACCATCTTGATCAATCGACATTCATTCGATTTTTCGGTTGTCCTCTTCAATCCTCAAGCGCACGATCAATTCTTCCAAATTCATTTCCTTGCATTTGTGCTTGAGGTAATTTTTGAAATCTCTCCACAAGGAGGGAGTTTCTCAATAATAGCTAATAAGTGTGTTTTTACACACTTATTTAACACTTTTTGGAACTTTATTATTGATAAAATTGAGTAGATTTCTATTTATAATTGTGTAATTGTTACTTTTGTAGGCCAAAATCCCGAAAAGAAGTATAACGAGCGAAAAGAGAAGGAAAAGGACTTGAAGTGCAATTATGGAAGGGCCTAAATGTAATAAAAGTCAAAATTTGAGGACCAAATTGCACTAAATGAAAGTTGAAGGACCTAATCTGCAATTTCGAGATTTTTTGTTCAACATTTTTATTATTTTATCCTTATTTTATTCTAAATATTTTTAGGATATTTATGTTGTGTCTAATAATATCTTTTTTATATATATATTATATTTTATTCTAGATATTTTTAGGATATTTATGTGTCTAATAATATCTTTTTTTTATATTATATTTTATACTTATTCCATATACATACTAATATAACTTGGTAAGTAAAAAAAAAAATTCCCCAAACTCTTTCACTTTTCTCTCTATCTCTCTTGGTCTCTCTCTCTCTTTTTCTTGATTTTTCGTCTTTTAGTTTTATTTTCTTTTGTTAATTTTAGTTTTATTTTGGGAATCAAGTGGATATAGCAAGAAGATCATTAAGGAAAGCTTGAAGAATACATTGAAGGAATTACAATTCGTATTTAAAAGGGTTTTATCTCAACTTTTGTATTCCTTTCATTTAGTTCTTCATGTTTGTAATGATATGTTTATGAGAATCTCTTTGTTATTTTGTTAGAATGATGAACTAAACAAGTTTATGTTGGAATTTATGTATTAGCTTAACCTATTTTCATTAATATCGTGTTATATGTTGTTAGATATGCATTTGTTATCAAAATATTGGTGTATTAATTATCATGTTTAAGATTACTACATTTATTTGACGTCAATAGATGTTGTGGTTAGGTAGTTGCGTAATTATTGAAAAATAGTTGCACACAATGGACCGAAATAATTAATACCATAGGTTTGTATGGTTTCGACTATACGCGTTTAGGTATCTAGACATGTATACCTACCCTATGTGACCCGTTGAGTTATTTTCACAAAAATTGAATGCAGTTGTTTGGTTTAGAACGACATATAAATATGTCAATGCCAAGCAATTAGGGTTGATATCGCTCGACAGAGGTTATTGACTAATTTTGGAAAATTGGGTCTAACCACATAGTTTGGTAATTTGCATCCACGCATAATTGGCTTGAAAAGGGTTAAGCGAAATCATAAATTCCAACATCTTTTAAAATCAAACTTTTCCACTTTTTAAGTATTATTTAAGTATTTTAAATCAAAATCGAGTTTTCGCCTTTTTATAGTTTTTAAAATCGAACTTTTAAATGTGTCTATCTTTTTCGTTAATTTGAAACAAATACACTCGTAATTGAAAACAACACTCTCTGAGGGATCGATTGGGACTTAAAAGGTCCATTATACTACTTGATTGCGACCCGTGCACTTGCGGCGTGCCATTTAATACCGATCAATGGCAGCCACTCGTAATGATTCACTCAATTCCATTTTCTATGCATGGATGTCGTGCAACAAGATTTGAATCTCTTGTACTTGGCTAATCACAATTTTGGAATCCACCATCTTGTAGTCCAAAAATTTGTCGACGATGAACTTTTTTGTTTTGACATCATTGGTCTTGTACTTTGTCTCCAAAGAATCACATAGTTCCTTGACTGATTCTTTTGAACTATACACCATATATAGTGTATTATCCAATCTATTTAGGATATAGTTCTTGCATAGGAAGTCCAAGTGTTTCCATCCATCCAAAGCAATAATCGATTCACAATTATTTTTTCTTCTTGTACAGCCGGTACAGTTTCCTTTAGAAACTTAGCCAAATTAAGAATGTTGAGATAAAACAACATCTTTTGTTGCCACCTCCTGAAGTTCACTCCTGTAAATTTTTTCGACTTTTCCCCATGTGGGGTAGTAGTATTATGCAACGGTACAGCTACGGGGGTACCACATTATTGGAACCATTTTGACTTGACGAAGTCCTGATGGTAGTCATTTGTGTTACACAAACAAAAGTTCAACAAAATGATAGTAATATCGGTGGAGGAATAGTACACAGAGCACTATTCAAGCAAAGTAATGGTTTGTCCACAACCAACCAAAAGACACAAGAATTTTTGTCCTAAGAGTGTTGGAGACGACTTAGAGAAATGGGCTATGTAATTGTTGGTTTTTGATATATTTGTTCGACCAGTTTTAATCCGTAGGAGCGTGATGAAAACACAATTTATATGAAAATTTGGACGGAGTTTCAGTATACTACGCAAAACAAGAATTAAGAAGGAGTAGAAAATAGAAAATAATCCAAGATGAGACGTTATCTCTTTCCTTAAAACAAATTGCCCCGTTACGGTGCTTATGGTGAATGACACTTGTCTCCTAAGATACAATTGATTCACAACTTATGGTAGTAGCACTTCAAATCACAAGAAATCGACGAATTTTTGATAGAATTTTCCTTCTACAAAGGAAATGCATGAAAATGCTACATAAATAGAGAGGAGATAATTGCAAGAGGAGAATGAGTGCTCAATGCAACTGGTGTATCCAAAACCATGTTCATAAGGTCCTATCTATAGATATAAAAAGGGTGCAAATGAAGTAGTGCATCCTTTCGAAAAGTTGCAACACTTGGCCAAAATCTATATCCTTTCGAAAGGTTGCAACACTTCATTTCTTCAAACTTTAGACTGCAATTTCTCAATCATCCGAAATTGATTTCAAGATTCCAAATATATCACAACAATTTACTCGACGAGTAGAATAAGTTGGTCTATTTACTTTTGTAATTTGACTAGCGGATCAAGTCCGAATATTTGGTCGAAGTTGACACGAAATCACACTTTTTCATTTTCCAATTTTCAATAATTTATTTGAACCAATTCCCACATAATTTTCCAAAGCTATCACAAATTTCTCTGAACGAAAAGACGGTTCTAATTTTTGATTGTTTATTGTCAACTAGGATAAGCATTGTTACTGTCGGCTTTTGGAAATCCTAGCCAACGTTTGGGCTTATCACAGTGCACGGGAGATGGTTTATATTGATCCTGAACTTGGTTTTTCGGAAGAGCAACACCCTATTAAACAGTGAAAAGGATTTATGGGCGAAGTACTTCAGTATTACGTTATTGAAAAGTATGGATGAAGACCTTACAGAGGAGGCTGCAGATAATAATGACCATCCATATAAAACATGGTTTTGGCTCGGCTCGAGCTTTTTTTTTTGCCTCAGTCGATTCGAGCAAAAGCTCGGCCAAAAAATAAAGACTCAATCAGAACTTTCGGCTTGAGCTTTGTCGAACTGGCTCGTTTTTATTTTTATTTTTTCATAGCTATAGTTGCCAAACAAAGCTGCATGTTTGACAGCAGATTTGCTGCCTATTGCCTCAACAGGCAGTTATAATCTGTTGTCTATGAATCGGCTCGGCCCAGTAAATTGGTGACCCGGGCCCTTGACTGGGCCTGGCCAGTCCGATTTTAAATAGTTGCAAGTGGCCCAGTCAAAATTCGGATTTGACTGGGACAATGGGCGATTTTTGAATATTTTTGGGCCGGTTCAGCCCGATTCGACCCAGTTAATTTTTAAACTAAATTTCAAAACTCTTTTACATTAAAATTGTAGGTACCAAAGATTTGAATCCTTGACCTTTAAATAAGTAGAACACAACTTTACCATTAGTGCAAGCAACACTTTATCATCTTTTGTTTAATAAATTATATCTAACCTCTGAATAATTTGCTATTTTTAGAAAAATTTTTAAAGCAAATAATTATTTTATATACTTATTTTGTTTGAAAAAAATCAATTTTAACTAATAACTATGGTCTCAACAGGTAGCTTAATTTTTATTTTTAAATTTAAATGGGTTGGCTCCCTGAAATGGGACTTGACTCGAGCATTGGCTTGGTGCTTTCGAGCTTTGAGTCGGATTGACTCAAACTTTTATTGAATTGAGTCACGAACGATGTGAGCCTACGAGCATTTGACATCTCTCCTCTCCAATAATAAAGCCCCAATTTTCTCCCTCCAAAACCCTACCCCAACTCGAAACTACAAACGCAAAAAGAAACCTCTTATCTCGTCTCCTCTCCATCAGAATCCAATCCAATGGCTGTAAGTATTCGTTAGTCCTCCGCATTTACTTAGTTTCGATTCTTTTCATGAGTATTGGCTTGATGTTCGATCTGTAGCTACTGATGTTTAACTATGTTTAAATAATGAGTTCCAAAAAAATATAAAAACAAAAAAGAACGATGTTTAAATTTGTTTCTTAGTACCATTTTTGTATTTATTCTTGTATTTTAGTGAATGGAGACATTTTCTGGATTCTGCTTATTTTAGTAATATATGATAAATTACTACCTTTTGCAGTTTGGAATTATTTGGTCGTTTTGCAATCCGGCAAATGGAATTGGTGATAGGCTATTTTTTTTTTTCCTTGGTACAAAATATAACCTTGACCCTAGGTAATATGGGCATTGCTATAGTTAGTGATACAAGTAAAGTTTTCGAATTCCGGTTTTGAATTGTAGTGTTAATCTGCAATACTAAAGGGTATGCGTGTGAGCATGTGTAATCAAGAACATGTAATTGGGCTTTGTGCGACTTGTCTTTATCTTTAATGATTTGCAAATTGGGTTCACCACGGTTAATCTAAAGCCTCGAAAGATCAAGCATATTTGGTAGCTCTAAGGTACAGTGTGAGTGATAATGGCTGAATGTGTTACTGCAAACTGGATTAAAAATAGAAATTGAGGATTCCTTTTTTCTTGTGTCTGAGTTAATGTTTATATAAGCATAAAACAGCATGGAATTTCTGCGTTCTATTTTTTTCCAACAGGATCTGAGGCCTTAGCTCAGTAGAATTTCGTAAAAGTCCATTACATCCTTCAAAAGGGTTGGAATGGGGACTTCTAGGACTTTGAGCCCCATTCTTCAAGCACGTAGTGGGATCAAATAATTTGTGATTCCATGTTTTCTATGAACACATTCGTCCTGCTACTTAAGAAAGCTGTATCAGACAATGGTTGAAACTTTGTTACTATAGCCATCTAAAAATTAAGATTACTTGTCTTATTATTGAGGTCAGCTTGACAGAAAGTCAGGTGTTTATTTTCTATATGGTAATAATGGTGGATTCCTGTCGGATAATATATGTTTTCTAATCTCATAATTTCTTGTGGTCTTGCTTTTTTTTGGGTGTTGGTGATGGGTCTCATACCGCTTCCTCTCATCCTGTATTTGTAGTAACAAACAAGATCAGCTATGGATGTGTTCTTCTCTAAATTTATTCTTGAGTCTCAATTCCTCACAAACAAAACTGGGTCAGGTCGGTACTTAGAGCTAGAGGTGGATCTGACTTTGGTGTACTATTATAATCCTTTAACTTATTCTTGCAAAGAAATGATATTGTAGCTGACAAGAAAAGGATATCTCTAGTGTATGCTGTTGCTTTTAAATAAAAAAATTCACAGGAGTATTGTTTTCTTGGCAATTCTTCATTTTGTAGATTAGAATCTGTCATTTCTAATAGTTAATCATTCCTAGGATGGAGATGGTATATTATCGCAGCTGAAAGTTGCTGCATGAAAATCAGAACATTTTTCTTAATTATTATTAATTAAAGATGTTTTTGCATGTCATTAAGATTAGTGCATTATGATGTGATTTTCTTAGTATAGTTTGTAGTGTTATGAAAATTCTTTATTCTTTATACTTGTAGACTGTTCCTGTTAATCCCAAACCTTTCTTGAACAATCTGACCGGGAAGCCTGTCATGGTAAAACTCAAGTGGGGAATGGAATACAAAGGTAGTGTTCCACACACCATTTTCAATTTTTTATGCAGTACTTGTGGCCACCTAATATCCATAATTATATTCCATTTGTCTACGTCATAATGAGATTACTTTTTTTTTTTTTTTTTTTTTTTGAATTTTACTTTCAGGTTTTCTTGTCTCTGTGGATTCATACATGAACTTGCAGGTATTTCTGTTTACTTTGAATTCATTTGCATTTAGATTTATGCTTATTAGGTCATGCCCTAGTCGTTGAACTCCCGATCCGGCTCTTCCTATCTTGTGATTTCACGATCCAAAAATGAAAAAATGATCCGATCCTACTGTCGGATCTTAAATTTGTCGGATGTTAGGGTCTCTTTGTTATATTGTAATGATCCTAGCGATTCTAACTATCCTAACGATCCTTTATTTGTTTTATCATTATGGACATTCTAGCTTCATTTTTAATAAATTAAGTAGGTTAGGCTATTATACACTTGGGTTGAATTTCATTTTGAATTAAGAACTTATCAAAACTATAAATTAAAAAAAAAAAAAAAAGGCGAAACAAAACTGTAAAAATTAGAATCCCCCATTGTGAAAAGTATTATCCTTCGTTTGTCATTTTATGTAAAAATTGACGACGACATTCGTTCATCACTTTAAGAGAGTTCATTTGCATTTTGCTTTTTAACCTTGGGTCATCGCTATGTGGTGCTTGCGAACTTGTGCAGGGCAGTTGGCTTTGAAGCGTTTATAATTTGAGAATATGCTGAAAGGGATAAATATTCATATATCTAAGCTTAAATTTATCTTTCGTTTACAGTGTTATTTCATTGTAACCTACTGGGAACTAGCCTCAAATTGGTTAAGTAATCTCCCCTGTTATTCGAGTTATAATGTCTCTGACATCAAGTGTGTATATAGTGGGTAATTACTCTCACATTAGGTGGCTAATTTGCAGCTATTGAGCCACCATGTTCAGCCCAATTTGGAATATGAACTTGTGTAAATTTATCATTTTGACTCATTTGCATGCTGTAAAATGTTTGCAATAAAACTCGTATAATATTAGCATTGATACTTTTCATTTTGATGCTGTAGTATATAAATTTGTAGCATGCTGCAAAATAGCTCCTTTTAAAGGTCTTTTAAGCGCACTCAAACATGCTCTTGAATATCTGTGTACAGTAATTTACCAATATTAAGTTTGGCAATTTTATGAAGCTATGGAGACCAGAGTGAGCATCAGAGCATAAAAAATAATAAGGCTTTGTTTGAGCCACATTATTTGAAAAATATACATTCTTCAACAGTGATTTGACATCATTTCAGCCATACATTCTTTAATAAAATAATATTACACGCAAATCCAAAACATTTTCTTATTTTTAACTACACATTTCCCATCAATATACTATTCAAAAATGCGTTTTCATTCCAATAATGTGGCTCAAACAAGGGCTAAAACAGGTAGTGATAATATATTTCAAATAACAAATAAATGAAAAGAAAAGATGTTTAACATGTATATAATAAAATGAGTTGGATTGTGACTACATCAAGGGAGGTTTTGTACTCCTTGTTCAGTACATATTAGTTACAGCCTATTTTGAGATTGATGTAAAATATTTTTGGCAGCTGGCAAATGCTGAAGAATATATTGATGGACAATTCAGTGGAAGTCTTGGAGAAATCTTAATCAGGTAGTCAGATAATTACCATTCATTTTTTACTATTACCAATATAATCATCTTGAATATCACGAGTTTAGTATTCCCGTATCAGAATTATCATAAATTAATGTGCCCTTGTAAATATTTAACATACTTGTCTGTGGTTTAAACATCCAAAGAAGATTGTTGGAGTGATACGCTTAAACCACAGTTCCATCTTTTCTTAAAAAAAAAAAATAATAAAAAAAAAATAAAAATAAAAATGAAGATTTGGACACGGTTGCTTTCAGAATTATTAAATTTCTTAAGCACTTAGATGAAGTTCTTTCTGTTACTCCCAGTGCAGTCAGATCATGCCATGCAATAACTTCTTTTGGCTTTTGTTTTATGTTCTATTCTGAAATGTTTTCTTGTGGTCGTTTGGGGGTGAGTGTTATTAAAGTACGTAGCCTGGTATAATTGATAAGATGCACTACTAGGAGTTAGAGAGAGATTATGGTGGTAGATCATTCTGAATGAGTTGGATTGTTTCAATGGGAGGTAAAAACCTTAGAATAAAAAAAGAAAGAAATGCTGTAGCCATGCATTCCTTTTTTTGAGAGTTTTCATGTTAGACGGTCTTGTTCCCGATGCTCCAAAAGGCAAAGATGTTAAATGAGACTTGTAATAATCTTGTCTTCTTTACAGGATCATGATTTACTTTAGCTTAGCATCATTTGGTGAAATGAAGAATAATCCGAGATATATGGCATTTTTTGTAGGGAGAATACTCAGCAGTACTAAGGAAGAAAAATAAGCTGGAATTATGTTCACAAAAATTCTTGGTCTCCTTGCACATTTTTTATCTCGTTGAACATCGAGCAACTATGCCATATTTGATACGAGCAAGTATTAGTTGGGTAGAACTGGAGGTGTTAATTGGAAGGAGTTTGTTACCAGTGTTCGGTAGGAAGAGAAAATGGAAGGTTAAGGATGTAGATGGAAACCTTGCTTGCCACTCATTTGAATCTGCTGCATATATATTAAATACCTAGTGCTGTCTAGAAATTAGGTCCCATAGGCACAGACGTGCATTTATGTGACTTTTCATAAAATTGATTGCACAATTTTGCATTTTCTTGCTTGCTAGTTCCTATCAATTTTCATCCAATTAGAAAGAGGGTAAATCAACATTATATATTTTGAAGACGGGGTATCCTGTATAGCGTATTCTTAAAAAATGATGTGGCATTTACAGATAATTGAACTGTGCCTTCGGCATTCAACACTCTTTGATTTTATTTTCTGTATATGTAAAGTATTAATTTCAGTATCATTAAAATACAGCATTTCAAATCAAACAGGGATATTGACTAAGAGCATGCTTGTATTAAGCTTTAAAAAATGTAAAAGTCACTTTTAATTAATCTTTTGTTTCCAAACATCCCCTGGCATGTCTGCTATGCCTTAATAAAAGTAACTTCGTGGGTGACTTTTTTCTTTCCGTTTATATTTGGATAACTTATTTTAACTCTGTTTTTTTTCTTAATTTGGAATTAAATTTCAACTTACTGTCAACATAAATAACATATTTTCAAATTCGGCCGATAAAAAAAGGTTGAATAGTTACTTGTAAGTAAACTTTGTGGGCTTTGGCTGAACATGCTCTTAAAAATTGGATCCTTGACTACCTTAGTTAAAGAGTTTCACATGAGGAGTAACTCATATTCTGTGCGTTTCTTCTGCAGGTGTAACAATGTTCTCTATCTTCGTGGAGTTCCGGAGGATGAAGAAATTGAAGAAGCAGATCGAGACTAGATTCTTCGACTTGTACTATTTTCTTGTTCGGAAAGCAGAATTTTATCTCTTCTTTGTCATGCGCTTATATTGAATACCAAAATTAAATGATCTTTTATGTCATTGCTAAGATTGCCATTAGTTAACTCGGTATGGCTCGACTAGATATTATTATGCATAGATCATAATGGATTACAAGGATTAAGGACTAATGGCTGGATATCTAATGGTGAAATTGTTAAATTGTCGTGTAAGCCCTTTGATTTTCGATTGCATTATTTTTTACTAAACAGTTATCTTAATATTATTAACTTTAGTAAGTTCGTTACTTCCAGTATCAATGTGCAATAATCCACAAAAACCTGTACAAAGTGAAAATGTAAATTCTGGCATCAGTTCAACTTGGAATCCAGTATTTATTGATGTAATACTTGAATTTTTATTATTGTTTATTAATTGGACATATTTTAGGCCTAGAATACGATTTTATGAATGTGATTAATGTTAATTAGGGTCATTAGTTGCAAGAATATCTTTTGGCTAGTTTACTAATTTTTGAGGAGTTGAGGGACAAAATTGCAATTTAAGATAACTTGCATATTGGTGTTTTTCAGGAACAAGATATCATCTTTAGGTGATCATAAGCTAATAAGCTGGATTTTGATGTTTGGAAAGCATTATCGCAATTTCTGGAAAGTTTGGAGCCAATTCGTAATTTTGCTATTCCTGAGGGACTAAAGTGCCAAATTCAGATTTGTTTTATTTAAAAAAAGGAAAAAGAAAAAATGAAACATTGGAAGTGCAAGTTTTTCAGCAGCCTTTGTTTAGTATTGATATTTTATCTTCAATTTTTTGGGCGATTAGAGATGAGGTTATAAACTTATAATTAATCAAAACCCTAACAAATTGAAATTATTTTGCAACCAAATTTCAACCCATTCTTGATTTTGGCGGGACCGTTTCCTGTCCGAGTGGGAGGGGCTGATTTCGGCCCCTCTGCCCATTCTAGCAGGCATAAAGACCCTGTTTGGGTTTGGCTCTTTACTTTTAAAATTTGTTATCAACCACACATAATTTTCATTAATTTTTCAATTACATATTTCATCAACTTTTTTTCAAAATTTACTAAAAATTGAATTTTTATCTAAACCAAATAGAGGTTCAATAAACTCTTAAAGGGTGTCCTCAATTGAAATTGAGATAAATTTTAAAAATCTTTTTAAATTTAAGTGTTTTCAGTTGAGTTTTTAATGAAATTCACTAAAATTTAGGAATTCCCAATTGAGATTTTAATAAAATTCAATGAAATTATCTTCAATAACTACTAAATTTATAAAGATTTTCTTAATAAAAGAATTATTAAAAGATTTGGATTGATTTTAAGCTTAAAAATATATATGATCAAGTTTAGATTCTTATAAAATTTATGGAAATTTATTTAAATTTAGGAAAGTCAGAAATTGGATAATTAGATACATAGATATTGCATTGACAAGTGTCATATGCATGGCCTTATAAACTACGTTCGGGCGTCGTGCCTCACTTTTTACTTCCTCCCATTCAACAAGCATTCACTTCCTTTTTCAACTCAAATCAAAATTTTCACTTTCTATCAACTTGCAAGTTGCAACTCTTTGTTTCGTTGCCGCCACAGTTTAATGGCGTTGGCAGATTTACACACCAAAATTGACCTTCAAAATTCTTCACAACTCTCCTCTTTGTCAACCCGGCTTTCTTATAACCGCCGTATCAGTCTTAGGCCGCTCCCTCAGCCCCATAATTCAAGAATATGCTGCTCTGTAACCTCAAAGTAAACTACGTTTTTTTTTTCCCCCCCTTCACTTTTTGGATTCTTTTGGATATAAACGTATAATAAGTGTTCGACTGCTAGTATGGTTATGCGGTGGATTTTTTTCAGGGAAGTTCAAGCACCAGTGACTGTAAACACTGAGGAACCCAAGAAGAAACCTGATTGCTATGGAATCTTTTGTCTTACTTATGATCTCATGGCTGTAAGTTTTCCAATATCATATGGGCTTATTTTACTTATTTTGTGAACGTGTTCATTCTGTTTGAACTTTTGACTTATAGTAAGCCTTGGCTAATTGACGGAAAATGGGTAAGAGAAGCTTTGATAAAACTATGAAATAGTTTTTGATGTGTCTTATTAGTCGTACAGTAGTGCTTGTGGTCTACTTGTTTTTGTAGACATAAGTGCTGTTTCCTGAGGTGTAGGTAGTTCATGAAATTTAGAGCACTTCTTGGCTTTGATCTGTAGTAAACCTGGTTGAATTGTGGTGTAGTAGTGTAAGATACAAGAACAGAGAGAGATTTTTGTGCAGCTGGAGGGGAACGCGGAGGGCGGAGAGATATTCACTTTGTTGAAGTCATTAGAACTGATTATTTAGGCTTTATTTAGTTGAAATAACTGGATTTATACTTTTGGTATTAAGATAGGGTCAAACTTTATTTCTTCCTTGTTTTGAGGAAACAAATTAAGGAAAAGAACGCTACCTAAATTGTAACTGCCATGTGTTGCATTAATCTATGCTGAAGCTCCTGTCGTCTCTTGCAAATGCTGTTTCTAGATGAATGATTAGGGGCAAGTCCAGGAAAGTTAATCGAGGTCCTGGAGTAGACAACAGAGCATATGAAGAAATCAGGTAGCAGAGACTATAATCTTGCTGTACAGTATTCTTGCAACTTGCATTTGCCAAACACTAAATTTAAACTCCTTTCTCAAAGTCATTTTCGAAAGAACGCTTTCGTAAAGTACCTTTTGTGACAAAACTCTACAACGAGAGGCCCAAAATCTTTTGAGAATTCATTTCATATTAATGATTATACCTGACCATTTGCAAATATTTTCTAGTCTTGGTTTTGTGGCAACTATTATAAATACACTCTCGAGAACTTTGGGGTAAGAGAAATTTTTTCTTTTTAATCAAAGTCTATGAAGTATTAGGCATTTGTTAAGTCAGATGAAACCTAAAGAGATCAAGTTATTCCATATAGGACTTTTTCAGCTCGTAATATAACTGTAGCTGCAAATTATTCTTGGATGCAAGTGACTTATGTTTAATATCCAAATCTTATTCTAACTTCGTGTTGAGAACTTTTATCCATACCATACACCAAAAATTTGTATTCATACTGTGTTTGCCATGATAACAGAACTGATAAGCAGGTAGAATATCTCTGAATTGGAATTATTGCTCTTTCACCGCATAGTCCACAGTATAGATCTTATTAGGATATTAACCCCAAAAAATCTGAAAATGACAGTTACATGTAGCATCTGTTCAATGTTGTGCTAAATGATTTGTTAGACTAACAGGAAGAAGGAATAAACTTGTGCCTATTAAATTTTGGAAGGGGGCAAGCATTCCTTTTAATTAATATGTTAATTCAATTTTTTTTTTTTTTTTTTTTTTGTGCTTTAACGTATACACAGGGAGAGGAGACAAAGTCTTGGAAGAAACTGATTAATATTGCTATCTCGGGTGCAGCCGGAATGATTTCCAATCATCTCCTTTTCAAGGTAGAAAATGTTTTTCTTTAAATCTTTGTTGAGTTGGATCATCCTAAACAATGGTAGCATCTATAATTGTTGCTTCTTCGAGGCAAACGATTAAGCATCATGTTTGGCTAAGCTAAAAAGTGAGTCAAAATTCGTTTTTGAACATTTTTGAATTTGTAACCTTTTTCTTACTTAAAAGTAAACAAAGTTACTTGTTTTGATTGTAAGGTTAAAGTTACTTTTAAATTAAGTAACTTAATAATTTCCAACTTTGATCAATAAAAAACAGTTATTTACTTATAAATTGAAATTACATAATTGACAAACATGCACTTAGATCCATGAAATCGTCGAATTCCTGTTCTCAACATATAGATGCTTTATATCCTGATTCCTGCAGTATCTGTCCTCTGCTGCTTATGATTAAAGTAATGGAATGATAATACATGAAGCCTTTTTGTTACTAAAGAAAAATTACCTTCTATCCATGAATAAATTAATCATTCTGATGATTAACACAGTAGTTGCAACATCATTATGGCACAAAACTCAGTATTTTTTACAAGAATTTGTTACATATGGCAGCTAGCTTCTGGTGAGGTGTTTGGGCCAGATCAACCTATTGCGTTAAAACTATTGGGGTCAGAGCGATCATTCGAAGCTCTCGAAGGTAATTTAAGTAGTTGCCCTCACTCTCCCTTCCAAAATCCAAAATGAGTGCGAATATAAATTATCAAGCAACAAATACAGGTAGTTTTTTACTATGTTGAAGTATGCCCATTTTCCTAGATAATTGTCTAGTAAATTGTTGAGAGAGAATTATATAATATAATCTTAAGTTGATACCAATTTCTCTAAACTTCATACAATCTTGTAAAATTTTCCACCTACAATGTTATACATGAATTCTGGAAGCTGACTGCATTTCTACGGAATATGAAATTTTAAGTTTTTTCAAGATTGCAATTACTGTATTTATTAGCTAATTAATATTTTACCAACATATTTCAGGTGTAGCAATGGAACTTGAGGATTCCTTGTTTCCTCTGTTGAGGGAAGTGAGTATCGGCATCGATGCTTATGAAGTGTTCCAAGATGCAGATTGGGCACTTCTGATTGGAGCAAAACCTCGTGGCCCTGGAATGGAACGGGCTGACTTATTAGACATAAACGGGCAAATCTTTGCGGAGCAGGTGTTTTCTTTTTCTTAAAAATCAACATAAGTTGGGCATTTTCATGTTTACGAATCCTAGTCATTTTAGTTTCTTAAAATGTAAACATATTAATATAGTTATATTTCGATACAGGGAAAAGCTCTCAATGCTGTTGCGTCCCGGAATGTCAAAGTTATAGTGGTGGGGAATCCATGCAATACAAAGTAATGCAATATTTCTCTTTTGCTTGATGCCAAGTTTTTTTTAACTTCCACTGATGCGTTACTAATTTATTTTCCTTCTTTTGAAGTGCATTGATCTGTCTGAAAAATGCTCCAGATATTCCTGCAAAAAATTTCCACGCTTTGACTAGATTAGATGAGAATAGAGCAAAATGTCAGGTCTGCCAACCATGTTAAGATAATTCATATTTTCATTTTCTTTTCGTCTCGATCAAGACAAGGATTGAACTTCTCATGTTTTATGGTTTGTGCAGCTGGCTCTAAAAGCAGGAGTTTTCTATGATAAAGTATCCAATGTTACAATTTGGGGGAACCACTCGACCACTCAGGTAATTCTTCAAAGTCCGTCGTACAACATCTTTTTGAAAACATAATTTAAATATCAAAGTAGGTAGAGGTCCTCAGAATAAGTCTCATCACTGCCCATTTATGAAAATTGATCATATGTTATGTTTTTTATGAAAAAAATGAATCTGACCTACACGTGAAGGGGCATGACAAAGACATAATTTAAATAAATAATTAATTTTTCCTTCTCTAACACCTTAAGCTTTAAGCTTTTTGGATGAAGTGTTCCAACACACCTAAAGTCTCATTAAACTATTCCCGGCTTATATTAACAGGTTCCGGACTTCTTAAATGCTAAAATCAACGGCATACCCGTCAAAGAGGTTATCAAAGATACTAAATGGTTAGAAGAAGAGTTCACGGAAATGGTTCAGAAGGTGAGATCTCAAACTAAAGTTTCTTGTTTCAGCGTTATATGTAAACTATAGTCGGTAGTTAATTATATTAAAATTTGACTTTCAGAGAGGTGGTGTTCTTATTAAGAAATGGGGACGATCTTCCGCTGCATCAACTGCTGTGTCAGTTGTGGATGCCATAAGGTCTCTTGTAACTCCTACGCCTGAGGGAGATTGGATTTCTTCTGGAGTAAGTTCATAACGACTTCAATGCAAAGTTCAATTTTATATATCATTATGAAAGTTCTCAAAAATGAGATCAATTAATATTGAAACTTTTTTTTTTTTTTAATTTTATTTTTAAACCAGTACGATTGCATTCGAACACCTTTTCATGTTGTTTAAAGAACAAAAATCATTGCAATTTTTTAGCATTTAGCGCTTGTGATTCTCCATGCACAATGGCTGTTGATGTTTTTCAATATCTTTTATTCTTAATTTCAAATAAAATTTTAGGTATACACTGCCGGAAATCCTTATGGGATAGCAGAGGATATTGTTTTCAGTATGCCATGCAGGTCAAAAGTAAGCGTCTCCAAAGAATCCCTTTCTTGTAACATTCCTCTGCTCAAGCTTTCATCTAAGATCTCATCTAACTTTTTGTTACTACATTCTTAGGGAGATGGTGATTATGAACTTGTTAAGGACGTAATTATTGACGACTACCTTCGCAGCCGAATTAAAATGGTATGTCTTATCATTTGATATTGGCTATTATATACCAGCTATTTAATCTTTATTCCTGATTATGGTCTGATATGGTATCAAGAGGCTGGGATTTCATATGCTAAAATATACAACTACATACTATATCTTATTATTGCTAGATCCGCTGAAATATTGAATGCAACTAGATCGTTTATAAATTTGACCGACTATATTAATTATGTCACATATTTTTACTGAGATCACATCACTCTTATGAACATGAACTTCTTTAGATGTACACAAGACATGTCAAGCCAACTAAGTCGTCCTTCCTTTTCATATGTTTCATAATTTCTCTCTTTTTTATTTTCATATAAACACTTAACTTTTTGGCATTAAGTCCATGAAACTGTCACAAGAAATAAATTTTTTTTTTTTTTGAAGACCTTACTATACGTAAATCAAATTTTACATAATGCCATATGATACTCTATCATGGGACAGATTAAAACACAAGTCAACTTTTTCGTCCAATCATTTTGTTACACATCATTTTTTGGCACACTTGATGTCTTTTTCTAGACAAATAGCATAATCCTTCTTTTTAAGCTTAACCAAATATGTTGCAGGAGCCTAAGTTTTCGTTTAGAGAAGGATAGATGAAAAGACATTGCCTAGAAATATCAAAATGAATCAAAACATGGATCTTATACAATACTTTTAAACAGCCCCGCGCCAAGTGCTTTTAAGGTTAATTTGAACTTTGATATACCTAAAATGTATTATTTTGCAGACAGAAGCCGAACTGCTGGCTGAGAAGAGATGTGTAGCCCATCTTACAGGCGAGGTAAGAATTAAATTTCCCAGTAGCCGCATTCTGCAGTTGACATTGTAGAAGCCATATTAATGGCTCTCTTATTCATAGGGTATTGCTGTATGTGATCTTCCTGGCGATACAATGCTCCCGGGAGAAATGTGAAGCCACTAAACAAGGCGTTTTCAAGAATCCGGCAAGTACAACAGAGCTCCTGGCTTCACTCGACGGAATGGAATTAAAATCTTTTGATCATATAGAAGAGTTAGTAGTAGACCAATAATTTATCAAAACTTTTCTAGTTCGTCCCAACATTCCAATACAGCTTCACTTCACAAGTTTCATGCTATTGTAAATAAAGTCCAAATCGCTATTTTTGAAAGCAATTATAAACAGAAAAATGAACAAAGCATACGCACAATTTGAAGTGGTTCATGGTGACGGGCATTCCCTAAAAATACCAGAGTTCTCAGACTTTTTACACTGACGAATCAATCCACATTGGACTCGCATTGAGATCGAGTTTATCTACTACAAGAACAAATGAATAAAAATATCTGCTTACAAATTTAGCAGCCAACGAGGAGAATTTAACATTACCACTATCATCACCATCTACCCAAGATATATTATAATCACAATCAAAGTGAATGAAATTAAACGACATGAAAAATAATAAATAAATAAAGAGTCAAAGATATAATCAATTATTAAAGTAGAAATACAAATTATGAAAATCGGTATGCTTCCGGAGTAGAAGCTTAGACTGACATTGGAGAACAGAATAGTGTCAACCTACAGAAGGAAAGTATTCAACACACTAAAACAAGACTCAAAACTTAAATATAAGATACAGAATAAACAATCATGCATTTATGTAGCTTGGTATCAATTTGAGAATATCTAAAAAGTCTACCTACAACTCTTCAACCACGCTATGGTTTTTGGATCTTTGACATATATTTTCTACTTGTGACACTTTACCTCGCACATATATAGGTCCCAATTTTGAAGCTCATGGAGAGAATTAGGACCCATAGGAAAATATAGTACCAGCCCCTAGAAATTGCTGAAACAGTCTTTTCAGGAAGTATAACACTTGATTCCAAGCTCGTAGAACCATGAGAACCTTGTGACAGACCAAAAGAAAGAACAATGTTTAAGTTCCCGAGCTTGCCAAATGAATTGTCTGCCCCATTTCCACCCATGGTTAAATTTCGTAATTGAACCATGCCAGCAGTAATATGTGCCGAACTGGAAGACTGAGCTACAGAATTGAAACGAAGAGCAGCATCTTTTGGATAAATCTCTGAAGCAAATGCGGGAGGCGCAGAGATGCTGCCCAATATGTTATTAGCCTGCTTCATGAGTGGATGCTGAAAATCTGCACAATTATAAAGCATAGCCAAATTGAATCAAAGAGAGAGTAATTTATAAAATTATCGACTAGGATGGCAGGAGAGTCAAACTCTGTGCAAGACTGCTACTTCTAATTAGAATGATGATCTTCCTTACCTGATTCAAATTTCGCAGATTCGTTCTTAGGGGATGGTTCAGCATCAGAGTCATTGTTATTGTCAAATGTTTGTCTGCTAGATGTAGTATCTTGCTGAGTTGGTTCATTTATAGTCTGGCACATATGGGCAAATTAAACTCTGTACCAATATAGCAAAGCAAACATTGAAAACATAATTCAAGGTGTAGAATCACCTTCTGAACAAGGAATGCTTCATCAGAAACAAGGTCCTCATTTCCCATCATCTTTGAAGGATTGTATGCGAAATACTGTGAGTTGCCATCTTCAGCATCAAAGAATGTAAGGTACTCCTCGAGCATGTCAAAAGTAGAGGTATCATCTCCAACAGAATTAAAGAGATCATTAGTTTCAATAAATCCTCCATCATCAGACTGAATGTTATCAAAAGCATCCAACCAGGTTTCATCCAGCAAGTAATCCACCTCAGAATTCCCAGTCTTGCTTGATTCTCCAATGTATTCATGCTTGAGTAGTTTTCCATCAACATCATATGAATCGGGTATGTCACATAACTTCTTATCATCGGACTGCTCTGGCTCACACTGATATTTGGGGACACCCAACAAGAGCTTTTGGGAGTCAACTGTGGTGGATTCCTTTCCATTGCTGCCATCTTCCACAGAGTAGAAATTCAATGGAAAAGTAGTAACATCTGATGTAACGTCTGTTCCAAGAATCTGGCAAAAGAAGCATTCTATCATATAAAGATCATAAAGCTTATTGTAGACTCAGAGGCTTCTCTGGCTTGAGATTGGTCATATACAGCCTAAATGATAAATTTAATTAGGTTCCAAAAACATTCAGAACAAGACCAAGCGTCACTACAAACTAATGCTTTTGGATGACTAAAAGATAATGACCTAAACCGGAGTTACAAACTCAATAATAAATCTATTCTAGCTCAATGACTTTCTTTATCGGGGGAACTAATTGGTAAGAGAAAATAAAGGTGCAGTTTTTGGTCTCCACTCTTCCTCTCTGTTCCTTTTTTTTTTCCCCCCCCTTAGTTATAGCTGTAGTTGGATGGTGACAATATAAATTTACATAACCAAGTGATACAAATTTCAACCTGCATATATTTCAACCAACAATGGGGACGGAATTTATGTGAGGAGAAGAAACAAAACCACGAGTGCATAACTGAAGAATGCACAACAAAACACTTCCACCATTGGCTAATATGCATCCAACAGCTGCAGTACAAAAATACTGTGTTTCATGAACAAAAGCTCGTGCAAGAATCTTAAACTCGTCAGCTATTCTTCTCAATTCAATTGTCTGTTATATCTCCACTGTCTTTCAGATCCAAACTAGATAAAAATATCAGTGTACAAATTTTGCAGATCCCCCATTTCAAGGAAATGCACATGGAGCTCCTTTATCATATTTCAATTGGATAATTGACTTTCTCAACTTCTTACCATCAGAAAAAATAGCATAAAACTCCAGATTTATGGCTTTACCATTTAAGGCAAATGAATTCGAGGATCACTTGGCATATTTTACTTGGATGCTTCCTTGTCTTAATTCATTCACTGTAATTTTTAAATGCTCTAAAATTCCATCATTTGCATGTAGACAAACAATCCACAATGTTAAACGAGTACAAACCTGCTCAAGGTCATGGCCATCCAAATAGGCATCACCGCCAAAATCCACTTCCTCTGCAGCCTCTTCCTTGGTAGCCATTTCCACCTCGTCGTCCTCCCACTCCTCCTCCACAAATGGTGCCCCATACTTTTCGCCATTCTTCGGCCCAGAACCACTCTTTTGGAATACTCGGCACAGTACAAATGCATCCTTCTCCACCAAAATAAACAGAGATTATAAAATTAAATAAAGAGATCAGTCAAGAATTTCAAACAAGAAATGAAACTAGAACAATTAAGTTCTCTTTGAATGTACTATGATGAGAAATTAATGTTCGTTATTCTAGTAAAAATGATAACAATCCAATCACAATCACAACAAGAACAAGAACAATAACAATAAAAGTGGCAATTTCATCTCAAGTTCAATGCTTCTCAATTCAAACAGACCAAATTCTGCCTTCTTTTTGTTTTTTCGTTAATATGCTAGTAGCATAATAATAACGACTATAAGATTGTGATATCTTCCCAGGTTTAATATTTCTCGATCTCACTTACTCCGACATCCAAATCCTCAGAAAATCACTCATCACATACATTTCCTCTAATATTTTCCTTCAGACAAAAACTGTCAACAGTTTTCTTCAGGTTTCTTGAACATTCAATAATGCATACTACTTCTGTCAACAGAAAATACATCTTTAAGTCAAAGCACGAGAATAATTAAGAATTGAGATACATAATCACGTGCCCTCACCTGAATAATTCCAGCTCTCTCTAACTCCAGATCAACGAGCCTGTACTCATGCATAACCCAGTTAGTCCTCATACCCTTTGGAGCACGGCCGCTATGATAAACAAGAGTTTTCTTCATCCCAATGATGACTGATTTATGGTAGACTGCCCTGTCCTTCCCTGTCGTCTTCCAATATCCTTTTTCAGTTGCCCGGTTGGTCTTTGATCCATTCCCATACTTCTTGTCCAGAATGCTGAAAAAATACCACTCTGAATCTCTAGTCTTTAGCCTTGACATACCTAAAACCCACCATATTTATGATAAAATTAAATAAAAATTTTCAAACATCAGAAGATAAGATATGCAAATGTTATGTTAGTGGTGTAGAAGGCATCGATGGAGGTAGAATAGATGCTACGTATTTGCATGGAGAGTTGGGTGATCTTGATACAAACATGTAGTTAAATAAAAGAAAATCAGTTGACACGATACTTGAAAATTCACTAGGCCTCCATGTGGATCAAAATTTTAAACTAAGGCCCCGTTTGATACACATTAATATAAAAATGAGAATGAAAAATATAGTCGTTACGAGCCCACACAAGAGATAAAAAGTCAAATATGGTGGTTTGATATAATGGATAATGGTAATATTTTTCATTTTAATGGGCAAATAATGAGAAACAAATGGGGGCTAGATTTTCTCGTTGGTAGGGGAGAAAAGGTGAGGGAAATTACATTCCTTTAAATTTCAAGAGAGATACTACTATCCATCATTAAGTTGACACAAAACTTAAAAATTTCATGATGATTTGCTCCATTTGGCAAATTGATAGATCATTTACAAATTGATCAAACGTCATATTCAACCCCATATTCCAAAATGATCCGCAAGTACTATCCAATTATCCATGGCTAATTCCTCTCTATGAATAAATTAAACCATTTATAAATTCTTTCCAATGGAGGCGAAACAAATGCCAGTTAGTAGTTAGTACATAAGTCAAACCTTGTTTCGAAATCACATATAGTTCACTACAGAATCCACCCTAAACATTAAAAAAATAAAAAATAAATAAAAAAACTAAAAAGTAAAAATATCAAGCTCGATAATAATATAAACCTACATTACCCACACGAAATTTTACAGTCAATTATTTCAAGAAAAGAACCTCGAAACAAATAGTTCCAAGTTCTAACTACGAAACTGAAACAATAAACAATTTCTAAAAAATAAAAAGAAAATTAAAATCACGAAAAGAAGATTCTAGAACGGCATGGCTTACTAGGGAGATCCCAAGGTTCGGCCTTGTAAATATCGATATCAGATATAGCATCGAAACGGAAAGACTTTCCGCAGACTTTTCGCCGTAAATAGTAACGCACCAGTTCCTCGTCCGTCGGATGGAATCGGAAACCCGGTGCCAGCAAAGTCGACGACGATCCAGAAGATGATTTATTGGGTGTAGAATCCATTTCACAAAAGAAAAATCAAAGAAATTAACCAGAATGATTTACGAAATTTTGGGAATTTTTTATCTCCCAGCTTCATGGACTTGGAAGAAGAGAGACGCCATTGGTTGTGAGTGTTTCAACGCTCGTGCAAAATCGATTACCATATATATTAGGAAATTTCTTGGCAATCACGGCGCGAAAATTAAAAATGGTTAAAATCGAGTTAATTGTTGCAATGTCACTTAACTTAGATCCATATCTTTGATTAGTCACTAAAATTTAAAATATCAAATTTTGATCACTGAACTTAAGTCCATATCTTTAATTGCTTACGGGTGTATGTCTTAGATTACCCTCTGAAATTTAAAATGTCGAGTTTTGACTACTAGATTTTGAAATATGTCGTACGTTACTCATTAGTATAACTGTTGAATTTTAAAAAATATCAAGTTTACAGTGAATAATGTAAAATATTTTTTAAAATTCAGTGAGTAATGTACAACGTTTTTCAAAGTTTAATGGCCAAAACCCAACATTTTAAACTTTGATAAGTAATCAAAGACATTGATCTAAGTTCAATTATCAAAACTTTACATTTTAAACTTTAGTGACCAATTAAAGACATGGACATAAGTTCAATAACCATTGGAACAATAAGCTCTTGAAATTGACACTTATTTATTCTTTGCTTACCTTTTAAGTTATGTTTTTATTTTTCATTGCGTTCCATTAATTATATCATTTTGTTTTTTATGTCGATTCTTATCTATCATATTTTTTAATACAAAAATAAAATATATAAAAGTACGATTAAATATTTATCCATCATTCTCACTCCACAACAACGACCATCAAAGCTCAGAAGTGTTAAGTAAAAGAAGATATGGAACAAAAAGTATAAAAACAAAATAAATGTTAGAATGGTCAAAAGTCAAAGACCTTTAGTGCAATTAAAATTTTATACAACTAATTAAACATAATGTAATCAAAATTTAGTCCATGTTTGAGTCTCATTTTCTAAAATCAATTTAGTAAAATGATTTTCTTAGAGAAATATTCGATTAAAAAGTAGCGAAATTTTTTATATATACATGTAAAATTATTTTATTGATAAGATGTGTAATTAAAAATGAGTTTGGGGGCCCGCCGGGTGGGGGGGGGAGAGGGGGGATTAAGAATGAGGTTCAAATATGGACACATGCAACTCTTTATTAAACAGGAGAAATTTTTTATTCTAAGTGCAACTCGAGCCTATAATATATAGAATTGACATAGAAGATTACACATATACAATATCAAACTACATTGTCTCAATCAAATATGCCTAAACAAAGTGACATTCTTTGGAATATAAACACTCTTTTGAAATAAAAATAAAGAAAAGATATTAGCTCAAATTCTCAATAATTCGAGAGAGGGCAGAGTATGTTCCAAAGACTGATGATATGATGCCTACTACGATGATCACTACACAAATTGAGCCCTGCAAATGAATTAGAAGAGAAGAATATCAATTTTGTCGTCAAATGGAAGATTACAGATGCATATATATTCATTAATTTAATTTATATTCGAGAAAAATAACAAATATAGTAAGAAAATTCACAAAGTGCTAAAAGATTGTAATTTGATATAAAACTCGGTTCCTAAATTGTCCATTAATCTGCAAAAGTCAAGCGAAGTAATTCAACGTGGATGCGCAAAACTAAGTCTTATTCTTAATAAATTTGAGCCGATTACACAAATCCTTTTAGAGCGGAAAACTTCTAATTCACCATAAATCTATTGCGACAAACTTGCTTGCTCGTAAGGGCGAAACCCTATTAGGCACTGATTCTGACTCACTATATCTAGTCTAGTTATATAGAAAAATGACACTGTGATTTACCTGAAACAGGCCTATTCTTCCCCTTAAGATGCTCAAGTAACAAGCGCATGGAAGAATCAAAGTCTGGAAAAGAAATTCAGTTAGTACAATGACATATTTGGTAAGATGGATTCGACAATATTTGGTAGTATTAAAGTAGATTTGTATAAACGGACGTTAAAGAACTTACGACTAGCATTGTGAGTAAAGAGCCAATCAATGCCATCACGAGACCTGTACAACAGAAAAGATATCAAATAATGGTAAACAGGATTGTCTATAAAAATCCAATTCTAGCACTTTCTTTGAAGGTACAGTCGGAACATGAAAACATACCAAAGAATGGGATGCTAAGACCGACAAGCAATGTAGATATCACCAATGCTGTTCGTATAAGGATTGCATAAATATAAGATTTAGCGTGGTTTGATGGTATCAATTCCTCGAGACTCATAGCCACCGGAGAGATGGTTAATGCATATGTGTCTCTCATTAAGGAAAGAGCCCGGTTCTGGTTCTTTTTCTTTTATCGTAGAAGCTTAAAGGATTAATCTCTTCTAATGAATTGAAACTGGTAGTATTCTAAAAACCTATTGAATCGAAAAAGGATATTTAGTAAACGGATTGACTACCTGCAAAGAACATTCAGAGACAATTATGTAAATGAAGTGTTCAAGTTACTGATTAATCAAAAAGGAATATCTTCAATTGAACAACATACTGTAGTCCAAACAGCAATTTTAGATGCGACTAAATCTTGAGGCATGTTGAGGGTAAACTGTGATTGTGTTGATTCTCCGAACATCATGTATCCTAGCACAGCAACTCCAGCATACATCAAAGTACAGATACCGAAACTGCAACATCGTTGATTCAGAAATTCAAAAATAGCAAATTAATTGCATTTGTGTATACGAAGTAACTTCTTGTTTTTCAGTCAAACCAGCACAAGGAGTATTTTATGAGTACTATAAATTAAATAAAATGCAAAAATTGGGGAACAAAGCCTAACCTTCAGCATATGTAAAGAAACAATGTGAATCATAACCATGGGGGGTACTGAACAAAAACATGCTAAAACTCATGCGACGTACTAGTTTCCATGCTACGTTTCGATAGAGTTGCTTGCAATTATTGGGTATTTATTTCTTTGTACTATCTCACCCTAAATTCCTAGGCTATAGAAAGAAGTCTGAGGTGAGATAATAGAACAGCAAGTGTGAGATCTTCATTATAAACCTTTTCATATTGATTTTAGTGAAAAATTTGCAGCAGCCAATGGACATAACCTCACATAAAAGGGTGAATTACTAAACCTCTGTTTTAGAGTGTTTCTATTTATTCCTGCTCATTATTACTCTCAAGTTTGTGTTCTGTAACAACTATGTTTAAGCATATTGCTAACAAAATGTAAGGAGCAAAGGGTGAATCGTTTAATGAACCTAGAATTATCCATCAAAACATGTAAAATCTTCACAAGCATTCATTTCAAAGAACTTGCATTTTCCGAAGAATAAGCTATATTTAAGTTGCTCAGAGTCTCTTCCGACAGGGAGTATCCGAGATTTAGAATAAGTATTAATACTCTGGTCTACTTGCACCTAGAAAACAGATCCAAGAGCATATTTAGTGAGCCCAAAAAAGTAAAAGTACTTAAAAGTAACTTTTAAGCTTAGCCCAGTATATGTCTAAACTTAAAAGTTGTTTTATGTAATTTTTTTCCCCAAACATGTTTGCAGTTTGCCAAAAAAAGAGGTAAAAGTAACTTTCAAATCTTTACCCTTTCCAAAAAATACCTGTACTTTTTTTAGGTTTAGCCAAACATGCTCTTTATTTGACCATAAAATTAATTCACGGTTTGCTATACCTTGTTAGGAGGACAGCAGGATATTGGCTAGGTTTTTCCATTGATGTATAGATATTGGGAAACACGGCATGTCCCGAGTAGCAATAACCATAGAGACCAATAGCAACGGGAAGAGTCGAAAGGGTCAGTGTTGTCCCTTTAGTCTGTAATCCAACTTGATCAACTAAGCCAACCCAAAACAAGCAAGCAACCACCAAGACTGATGCAACAACTCCACCGGCTGAAAATATTGCAATTTGCAAGCCCAAATGGAAATGCAGAAAGTGCATTAATGATCATGCAATTGTATTTATCCAAACACATGCAAAACTGATCCTCTAAATTATTTTGGAAAAATAATATTCGAAACATTTCCCTGAAACTGGACATATTATTGTGCTTTATTTAGATCCGGATCTCCAAAATTGACATACTGTTTCAAAATACATAAGGCATCTTCATTGAGTATTCTATGCTCTTTTTATTTAGTAACACGGTCTTCATCAACTTAGCGGATATTAATTTATGGAAAATTCTACATGTACAAATTTTTTGTTCACAGAATCTGGCTAGAACTCTCAATGTGCGCGACCCCCATGCGTGATATAAAATGCCAAAAAATCAACCACCCACCCCACCAATGTGTCTTTTCTGTAAAACATCTATGAGCAAAAATTCTGCAAGTGTAGTGCAATTCTTTCATTTATTTGCTCATTTGGTTTATGCATGGATAGAGTTGGAAAACAGACTATCAAAACTGTGATGCTCACATAAGTGGGATCAATTTATCCACCGAATAATGATATTCAAAATTGTTCGAATTTTACTATTTGTACACTGATTTTTGACACTTTGGTTGACACTTGCATCGTTGTCAAATGTCAATTGGATAGAAAAACTGTTTGAAATTTAAACTATTCAATAGGGTAATACCATGTGGTAAAATGTAAACTAAAGTGTACACTATAGTGTACATATATTAAGGTTCAAATTGTTCTGTCTTTCCAATTACCTCAACTATCAAATATATCGACGTGGAACTTCTTCTTTATAGGTATAACATAACGTTATGGGCTAATATAGGACCTAAAAACAAGTGCTGATATAATATGAACAGAAATTGACAAAATCCACAGAATTGACAAGCTTCATCATTGCTATATTTTTTGAGTCTTTATCTGTTCTGATGATTATAACTTGAAAATCTATGGTGAAATGGTTAATAAACTCACCAGAAATATAGCTAAGAATGCTCAGGTCTCGCAACCAAACAGTCGGAAGAACGGCAAGGGTGGTCAGCAATGCAAAAAGATGGTGAGAGTTTAATTCAAATGCTCCTAAGCTTAAATGTGCATTTGGAAATAAAGATGATAAGTTATCGCTCTCCAAAATAATATATTCAACACAACAAGCCTGCAAGAGGGAAAGCAAAGAGATCATTCAGCTCTACATAAGCAAAGAAAGTAAAACCATTGAGTTGTAAGATTACTTACATACAACTCCACGTATAAAACAATCTGCATTCACAAAACACAACAGAAGAAAGATCAATGTCAGCAATCAATTACTCTTGATTAACTTGCCTTAATTCAATAAACACTGAAAAACATGCCAAATACTTTTGTATATGTTTTGTATGTGTAGGCCTTAAATATGTAATGAATTTCGATTTTGTTACAACTATTTCTGACATATAGAAGATACATCCATAAATTTTCGTTACTTTATGTTGTAAGTGTGCAGTGCAATTGGAGATTGTGATATTTCATATATATTAATCTTAAATAC